TTTTAGGCCCCTCCAGGGCACCACAGTAGACATGGCTTGTTTTAAAGCCTGTCTTCTTGTTCTCCCACAATCCAGGACATTCTCCATCCCATCTCCCCAGGTTTTCCCCTGTGTTTATCTGGGTGGAATCTTCCAGAGTTGACTGACTAGCCCTTTTCAAACTAAGTCAGTACGTTACCTACCCATTAAGCTCTTAGCTGACCTCACTCCTATTGTTTTTATCTTTCTCTTGGTGTCTTCATCTCTTAGAATGGAGAACCATTGTGGTGAAGTTCAAAGTTCAAAGACCCAAAGGTCAGAGGACCCAGATCCTGGCTCTGTCTTACTCCTCTTAGGTGAACTGGGCTAATCTAATCTGTCAAGTGTGTCACTGGGGCCAAAAGAGTAGAGAGCTGGAAGGTCCTGAAGGGTGGGGTCTGCATTTCAGAATGTTATGTGTGTCTCTCACAGCCCAGCCCTTATTGCAGTGCGGGCAAGCGTGTGCTTGTAAGGGGATTACTTGAATGTTACCATTGTTTGTAACCTACAGTAGCACTGTGAAGTCTTTCTTTTCCCACTGACACTTTCTCATTAATCAAATGTACTATATTAAGCTAATGTTTTAACAAATATGAGTGGCAAAGCCAACTATTTCTTCTAGAGGCTAATCAGTCATCCACAAAATGACTTTGCTCTGCCAGGGGACTGGATATAGTAGAGAAACAGGGGCCATAGTTTATTTCTAAGGCGAAAATGTGTTTGCCAGTAAGCATGCACAAAATAGGAAATACAGAGGGTGCCAAAAAATGTATACACATTTTAACAAAGGAAAATTGTATTAAAATTGTAATACCCAATATATACCGATAACAAAAGATGAATACAAGTCACTTTTGACTTCTGCTATTACAAAAGGCGCTCAAAGTGGTTACCATCAGCATCCAGACACTTCTGATTACAGTGAACTACTGCTTGAGCAACGTTGACCAAGGTGTCCACTTGGATACATTTTTTTTGACACTCCGGGTATATGGATACAAAATCCATGCATAAAGTAATAGCAGGTTTCATGGGTATTGGTTTGTGGTATTGACATTTTTGCTTTTTCTGGAGACTGATTATAAATAATAAAAATATAAATGTTAACTATACACCTTAGCAATTCATTGTTTCTGAAAGTTTATTTAGCACCTAGAGTATGCAAAGACATTTCATTAAAAATATTTTATTGGGGAATTAGGGAAGGGGTACAGTGTTGGGGAACTGGGGAAGGAGAACAGCCAAGTTGTTGGTCCTTCAATCTTAGTTGCAGGTGGGCGTAGCCCACCATCACATGCGGGACTTGAACCAGCAACCCTGTTGTTAGGAGCACGTGCTCTCACCAGCTGAGCCATCCTGCCACCTGTTGGAAGCTCAGCGGCAGCTCAGCTCAGGCGCAGCTCACTGGCCCATATGGGAATCAAACCAGCAACCCTATTGCTCAGAGCTCATGCTCTTAACCAACTGAGCCACTCAGCTGGCCCTGCAAAGACAGTCTTGAATCTGTGGGGGAACTGAGACTCTTTGGGGGAGACCAGGTAAAACATACTTCCTGCTGCATTGAATTGGACTTTAGCATTTGCCATTTGAATACTTGGTGCATGGCAGGAACTCAGTACACTTTTGCTCAATGGATGAATCTAATGGCATCAGGAAGGGCTGGCATTGAAAGGTGGGAGAGAGCACTGTGGAGTGGGGGCCATAGCCACTCCCTTAGAGCAGATGCCAAAGTAGTGGTGACTTGAGGAATGGGCAGGGTCTCTATGGCTGGAAGAAGAGTGAGGAGATGGGAGAGGAAACATGAATCAAGGAGATGTGGATTAAAGGAGTACGGTGTGTCTGGGGAGATGCAAGAAACAATTAGGCCCAAGTCTACTTTTGCTGGGGAGTAGACAGAGGGAAGCGAGGGTGGGTTCCCATGCTGATCTTTGAGGGCTGGACTGAGCTGGAGAAAGAATGCCACGGACGGATGGATTTCGAACAAGATCAAATACAGACATTTAATTAATAGTGGCATGTAAGACTGATTTGATGAAAGAGCAGCACCACTGCGGACAATAAAATGAAAACGAAGATTTGTAGGGCTTTTTAAAAACCCCTGTTATCTGGGTCTCCTTAGTGTGTTGTGGCTGTGGGGGGAGAATTAACCTGAGTGGAGAGTGTATGTCAGATTATCTTTGATTTGTACCGTCCTGAGGGGCCCGAGTGGGAACACGGTTAGGCAGCTGTCTTCAAAGCCAGTGCTCAGAGCCGGAAAGGCAGCTTGAAAGAACTACACAGTGAAAACTTACTGTGCCTCTGTGGTTGAGAGTTCCTAAATGTGAGACTCAATGTGAGATACCTGTTTTAATAGATAAGTGGGATTTAATCCATACTTCTTCGGAAGTGGGAACAACCTTCTCTGCAACTCTGATTTATTGGTCCTCTGTTTGTTTTATTTTGGCGTGATAATTTCTTAGCTGTTTACAGTGGGGACGAGACTTCTGCAAGGCAGGTGACCACAGTTTACCCCTCACTGCAGACCTAGTCCTGTTGCGACCACCCCAGGGGTGAGGGTCAGAGCTGGGGCTGGGGTGGTTCCAGGTCCTAAGCGATTCATCTCTGTTGGTGAGTCTCAGTCTGAAGGATATTGACAAGACCCTTTGGGCTGTTTCTTGGCCCTAATTGAAATTGGAGATTTCTTGAGTAGACTCACAAATGTGTCTGCCTGGCCAGGAAATCTCTCCAACTTAGTCTTGAACGGACCCGGTCACTTCACAGGTTTTTGGATTAGTATTGGAACATGGCTGTGTGAGCTGTCTAGGCAATTGTAAATTTTTTAGTAGCCACATTAGACAAAGTGAAAGAAATAGGTAAAATTGAATTTAAATAGTTGTTTATTTAACCCAGTTTACCCAGCACATCATAAATATATAATCAAATAAAAAATGATTGAGAGATTTTGCATTCTTTCTCTCATATTAAGTCTTCAAAACCCGGTGCGTACATTTTCAGCATATCTCAATTTGGACTGGATGCTTTTCAAATAAATGCTGGATAGCCACATGTGTCTGGTAGCAGTCCAGCTACAGAGCAAGACTTTAAAAAATAAAATAGCCTTTCTTTTTTAGGACAGTGTTAGGTTCACAGAAAAACTGAGTGGGAAGTATAGACAGCTCCCATATATATTCCCAGCCCCACGCATGCACGCACAACCTCCCCCACTACCAACGTCCCCCACCAGAGTGGGACATGTGTTACAATCGGTGAGTCTCCACTGACACGTCTTTATCAGTCAAAGTCCGTAGTTCACATTAGGGCTCAGTCTTGGTGCTGTACATTCTGTGGCTTTGGACAGATGTATAATGCCATGTATCCACCATTACAGTTTCATATGCCCTAAAAATCCTCCATGTTCCAAGTATTTATCCCTCCCTCCTTCCCCTCTAATCCCTGACAACCACTGATCCTTTCATTGTCTCCATAGTTTTGCCTTTTCCAGAATGTCCTGTAGTTGAAATCATACAGTGTGTAGCCTTTTCAAACTGGCTTCTTTCACTTAGTAATGAGCATTTAGGGTTCCTTCATGTCTGTTCATGGCTTGATAGCCCATTTCTTTTTAGTGATGAATATTATTGCACTGTCTGGATGTACCACAGTTTATTTGTAGAGGAAGACCTTTTGTAAATCAGGATTATATTCCAGCAATGGGACGTATTTTTTGGGGCGGGGAAAGAGGTCCTGAAAGTTGTGAGAATTGGGGGAATTAGAACAGCTGTGATTTTCTTTTTGTTGCACTTAAAAAGCTTCTGTAAGCATCAAGAAGAGAGAGGACTGGTCTAGGAGAGAGCTCAGGATGAAAATCTTGCAGAAGTGTATCTGTAACCACAAATAAAGGCCAATCCTCTGCTCTCACATTTTCTGTCCGACACCCCACACAGTGCCTGGAATCTGCTTAGTCCGAAGCCCTTGGATAAGTTAGCAAGTGCCTATGACAAATACTCCCTCCAAGCCAGTTTTATGAAAATGTTTAGACGAAGCAAACTGTTGGAAGAGAATAGAGAGCTGAATTTGCGTGGGCACAATTTCCTTGATCAGAGAATATTAAGCAAGAAGAGACCAAAGCAGGAGTTGCTGCAATTTCATGTTGTTCCCACTGTTTGGGGATGCAGCTCTGCTCTATTTCCTTTATTTTGGAGTTGATGATACTGCTGAATGACCTGTCTTGTCTCAGTTGAGAGAAATTTAATGCCAGTTGAGCACTCTTTATTGTCGGGGGTTGGTGTATTGATTCCGAGAACTGTGTGATTGCAAAGCTAGAAAGCCAGTTCATCAGGCTAGAGTACCACAGCCCAAGTAAGAGCATTAACTGCCAGATGACTTCTTTTCAGCCATATTGAATCTAAATACAAGGATCGTTCTTTTATGTAATGTGTTGATGTCTGAAAATCTATCCGCTGTCTTTCTCATTAATAGTTTAATATCTTCTAAGCATTGGTGAGCTAAGAAAATAATTACAGATAGTAATACAGTGTTCCATTTAGGAATGGGCCAGCAGGAAAAGGCTTTTGATTTCAGTTCACACCCATAGTTTTCAGGCCCTTTTCAATATGTTAAATTACTGGTGAGAAATAACAGAAGTTGTAGCAGGTTTGACAAGCTTGTCACTTTTTATGAGTAGTGGCTAGATCCAGTTGTATCCTGTTTGAATAAGTTGCATTGCCTTGGGGAGCATTTTGTTTGTGTATTCACAAGTCAGTCTCCCCAGGTTCTATTCAAACAGAACAAGAGAAGGACTGGCTAGCTCAGTAGTCCATCTTAAACCTAAGGCAAACCATCACCAAGCTTTAATTTCCCCAATCATAAGAAAGGAATTGCATCTATTTGCAAAAATTACTCTAATATCCTCAGATGAAATGGTCTAAGAAGTAATGAATCACTGTGCTTGAGGGCTAAAGGAAAGCTGCATTATAAAGACTTTTTGTTGTATTTTTTTTTCTCAGCTTCTCGCAAAATGTCTACTGTTCACGAAATCCTGTGCAAGCTCAACTTGGAGGGTGATGTAAGTATATCATTTTCACTTGTCTTATTTTTGCAAATTGGACGTCTCCCTGGATAACCGTGCTACTGCTTTTCTTTGTACATCCAAGGAAAATGGGACCAAATTCAGACAATCCTTCTCCCTCTTGGTTCTCCTTTCTTTTCCATTACCTGAGCTGTTTTTAGTAGTTCTATTTGAAAGAAGTGTTTTGACACTAGAAACTTATTTGGCATCACATTAAAATGAGACACTAGTGACACTAGGCTGGCTAGAATTTTATCCTGCTATATACTTGTACTTAGCATGTTAGTGGTAGTAATTGTTAGGATGATACATGACTTTTATGTCATGCCCTGGGATTTTATTAATGGTTGGCCATATCAAAAATGATCCTGAATCTTTTGGACTTCTTAGTATCTGGGAATTTATTCCAGACAAGAACGTATACCTTTTTTTTTTTTTAAATTTAGTACCTGGGAAAGTTTTTCTCCCAAAGAACAAGGATGTGTGTTCTTTTTTTAAAATTTTTTAAAAATAATTAAAGTACTATAATTCATCGTATTTCCTTTTTTGCTTTGGCTATCAGGGAGCTCAGAATTATTTTTAATTGTCTTCCCCAGGAAATAGGTGAACCTGGAAATCCTGATACATTTGATTCTTTGTTTTAGTTTACAATTTTTAAACTATACATGACATTATAAGTCATTGCAAATACTTTTAGAATCAAATACAATATATAAATCACGAATGTGTAAAATATCTAATATCATACATCTTTCAGGTCATCTTGGCCGAAATGGCTTTTTCAAAAACTCAGCAGTGACATTGATTGGTAGGCATATCTTGCAGCTATTTCAAAATATGCTCTCATTTAAATTAAAATACAGAGAAGCACTCACAGTAGGTTGACAGCAGCTTGGATCATGTGGTGCAGAACCCTTCTGTATGGCCTACAGTGCTTGCTATCAGAATGTTCAGATAGAGGGCATGCAAGCCCAGAATTGATGGCGTATAGAGCCGATGTACTTTTAATCTTTCCTTTTGGAACTTGTGCACCCTTGTTGCCAACAATACAAGCTGCGTGTTGAATTCCAGACAAGTCCAAGATCCTGATGATGTTTTTCTTTGCTGAATCCAATCATTAAATTGTTTTCAGTATCAGGTTTCAAAAGCGGGCCTTTCATGTGGCCCCTCAAGTTACCATACTCTAGTACGATGCATTTCTCTGTGTTGAGATGAGACTTATGCAATAGAAAATGTCATGTATTCCCTGATATTTTGAAGGAAGAGAAAAACCCCTTTTCCCCCTCAATAATTTGATTTTCAGACAAATGGATTTTATAGGTCTCTCTATTTAATTTTGTTTCCAGAGATACTATAAAATTATACAAAACTTTTCCCTATTCACTGTTTTGGAATAAGATGACATAGTGCCTGGTAAATTAAGCCATATGTGACATGGCTCAATGACCAGACTGCCTGTCGTTGTAAATAATTGATGGCATTGCTAATAAATAGGAGGGTGCGTTTCCTTAGATGTCCATGCACATTTTGTAGCCACCATAGCAGATACAGTATTTCAAAATAACACTTTGTCCTTCCCTTTTCCTGAATGTGGGCTCCATTTCCATTGAGTTAATCTTAATTGGAAAGTTTTAAGTAGTGAAATTTTAGATGGAAAACACCTTGATAATCCATTGTGTTTCAGAGTTACAAATATTAACTTGATGTACTATTTGGCCAAGATGGTCACAAGTACACAGTGAAACATTTTGTCCAGTCCTGAACTTAGATCTCTGGCTTGTCCTGGGAGACGTTTAAGAGGATGGCTTCTTAGTTGCTTACCTGTACCACCTCCCTGCTAAGGAAACCAACTGGTGTGGGAGCTCGGGTGCCTGTAATGTGATGCTTGTGGGTGGAGAGGTAAGTCAGAGCACCTCGGCCTCTGACTCTTTCCAGAAACTGAGCCAAGGCAAAGTCATCACATTATGATGGGCATCGGGGGGGATCTGAGGGGGCATTTCAGGATGGGGAGCCTTGATGTTGAAAGTGGGGCAGTGGTGGATGACTCTACCGGCCATCAGCCAACCCCAAAGCATGTTGTCCATCCTCTTTTGTCTGTCCTTTGCTTTGGGACTGGGTAGCAGAGAGGAGGAAAGCTGCGAGAGCATTTCAAAGAAAGAGGGAAGTTGACACTTCTGGAAAAGAGAACTGATGGAGAAACAGGCTATTGCCCTTACCTCAGTCTGGGGTGGGGAGGGGGTGGGTCCATCTGATCAGGAAGGGTAATGGGCTTTGAAAAGCACTGGAAAGGACAAGAGGGTCATTTAAAAGGCAATAGGGGAAAACATCGTAGGAAGAGTGGTAGGCAGAGGGGCTAGATAGCGTTCAAGATAGTGGGGGGTAGGGGGTACAGAGAGAAGAGGGACCAGCCGGAGGAAGTTGGCTGACATGAAGAAGATGTGGGCCATGTGGCCTGACCACCTTGGTGCCACAGCGGTGGCCAAAGGAGAGGGAGGCTTCCCTCACTTATCTGGTGAGACAGGTGGGCAGGCATTTTACATTTGCTTTCAAAAGAATTGTGAGCTCAGCCATACAGGCCCAGGTGGAAATTCGTGTACCCATAGCAAAAACTTGGCTACACACACTTGTTATTCAGGCATTTCCACATTTTAGTTTATTTCAAAATTGTTGCCAGCCCAGTATAATGCTCTTCCAAACCTTCCCAAATAAATGGGTGGTCGAGGGCTCAGCTTTGCATTGTCCGCTTTTGAGCTTGCACTAAAAGTAAGATAAGCGAAAATAGAGGCAGCATATATAGACTGCATATTCTAAACTAGCTGAGTCTTTGGAGAAGAATTCCCATTAGAAACAATGAAGTTCTGTGTCCTATAGGTGGTGGCATAATAATACTTACCTAGTTATTTAGTCTAAGAATGATTTGAATTGATAAACAATGGGGCGGGTGGGGGAGATCTATTTTAGAATTTGATATTTCAACAAGAGGATCTTTAATTTGTATGATTTGAGTATGTTTGTCTTTTGACCTCAGCACTCTACACCCCCAAGTGTATACGGCTCAGTCAAAGCCTACACCAACTTTGATGCCGACCGGGATGCTTTGAACATTGAAACAGCCATCAAGACCAAAGGTAGGTGGTCCAGTTGTCCTCTGGTCAGGCAACCTTTTTGGTTGTCTCTCCCTCTCTCTCGAATCTCTAGACATTGATCATTTGAAATTGTTTTAATGGAGTGGAGCTTTAATGAAGTAGATCCAAACCTACCTTACCCCACACCTACCTACCTATCTTCCCCTGACCTTCTCCCCCGTTTTTTCCTTCTCTCTTTGGAGAGCTCTAAACCATGGGAAGGCGTTTTAACCACATAGCATAGTAACTTGGAAACACGCCTAAGCGCTGAGGGTCAGGAGGCCTGATCCCCCTGGGTATGTGCTTTGGGCCCAGTTCTTCACGTTGAGGCCTCAGTGCCTGTTCTGTAAAGGAAGAAGTTGGTCATGGTGATCCATCAGGGCCTTTTTTTTATCCTGATTCCCTTTGAATTTCATTACAATTTGTTGGGAAAATGCTGGGAACTTTTTACTGTTTTGCTCTTAGATTGATTAATGAGAGAAAAATTCAGATTCTGTTTTTTTTTTTTTTTTTACCCTATAAGTTACACCCCACTCCCTAGGCCTGGAGCTGGAACTGGAAGAGCTGTCAGAAAAAGTATGTTTCCTTGAGTTCCAGGATGAGTAAGAGAGGACCAGGAGGCCTAAAAGCCTCCCTTTCTAAAGGCAGCAGATAAAGCATTTAATTGGGTAAAGATGAGAAGAGCTTGTTCAGGTTATCATGCTGTTTTCTATAAAAGGAAATGCTCGAGGTTTGGGGCTTATGTTATGAAGCGTGTATCTTTGGGGTTGCCCCCCCCCCGCGCCCCCTTCCCTGGAAGCATGGCGGTTACTGTGGTGAGTTACCACACTCGTCTCCCCTTCTGGACAAAGCACTTCCTTGCCACTATGAGGCTAGATTGAGATGCAGACATAACCAAGCAGTCAGAGCTGCTGCTTCCAGCCCCTGCTAAAGAGCTAGGAGACATTGTTCTCTTCTAAGGAGAATGTTTGAACTTACTGACACAGTCGTACAATTCATACGCAGGTCACCGACGGGGAACCGTAACCAGGGTGACTAGGAACCTATGGAGGGTGACCGTATGTCCTGGGTGATGCCTGCATATTCACTGATTGGGCCCCTTTTTACTCTCAGAACTGTTTTATTTTGCAGAATAAATTACATGGTCACCTTTCCTAAAACCCTTGAAGAAACTGGTGTCTTTTTTTTCCAGAGGGAGGAAGAAAAGTCTTGTGGTTCTAATAGGACATAGAGCTATGCGTCCTCTGTCTCAAAGCAGCCTTAAGTCCCATGAGGATACTGTGGGCACTTCCCAGATGGGCTGCCTGGACAACTGAAAGGAGAATAATGAAGTATCCAAATTTTCCAAAAAGTCTTCATTTTTGGCGCTTTTAAACGGCCATACTTGTCAAAGGCCAGGTTGGGACGTCAGGAAGTCACTCATCAGAAAATAAAACTAAAATCTGCAGGGCTTATCTTTTTACAGTCAGTTCTACTCAATGGAGTACAGTGGATGAGAGCATGTGTGATCTTATCTGCCACTAATTTACTAGCTACCTGACTCTGGAAAAACACTTAACTTCCATAAGCCTCTGGGTTTTTGTTTTTTGTTTTTTGTTTGTTTGTTTTTACTAGTAAGTACGCTCATCAAAGTTCCCACCTCACAGGGTTATTGTGAAGTACCACTTAGCATAGTGCCTGGCATATAGACATTGCTCAAAATAGGTTACCTTATTCCCCCACCCCCACCCCCACCCCGCACCTCTCCACTTTCCTAAAACGTACCCCATCTTGTTCTTTGGATGTGCCTACATTCCTGGGGCTTCCCAGCATGCCGTTGTACAAACATACTCTAAGTTGAAACAGTTAACTCATCTCACAAAGATGGTGCCTCTTACCAGCTGTAGACAAAGGCTGCTTTCATCCCTGCCTGAGGAAGCTTTGAGCACACTGGAATGTAAAGATTGCGCAAATGAACTTCTGGCAGCAGCTGAAACTCCCATGGCAATAAAAATACCTTCAGGCCCTTTCTGAGTTAGTAGGAAAATATTGAAGTTTCTAAGCAGCAATGTCTGGCCAGCTAAGATTCGGGCTCCTGCTTTCCAGTTTGCTCAAAAGCCGCTGATGTCACCATTCCCCGCGGTTGCAGCTCTTTACTGCATTTATTGAGTGCTCCTGATGGGCAGGCTTTGCACCAAGCACTTCAGGAGCATTCATTTTAAGATGAGCTTCCAATTAAGCTTCTGAAGTAGGGTTCCATCACCCACAGTTGATGGGTGACGCCACTGAGGTCTGTTGGCCTCGGTTCAAATTGAGGTTTTAACACAGACCCAGGCTGTGGCACCCACCACAATGTGCCACCCACCTGCCAGGATGGGACTTTTTTCTTTGCCCGGTAAGTTTCAGGCATGAAAAACGTTTCCTGGATGTGATTCTATTCATATCAGATACGTGTCATATTTGTGGTCTAGCTTTAGGTCCCGTCGTCTTCTCTTTCAGATGTAATGCCCAATGACTTTTACTTAGGAATTCATTTTTAGTTACTTTTTTTGGTGCCTAGTGATTTTAGATTAACTAAAATTTCTTGAGTTGTCTGTTAGCCCGTTAAAATAATTTCTAGGTTGTCAGTATGTTTAAATCCTTAAATCCTTCTAAGAAACTATTGAGAAGAAAGAATGTGATATCCATACAGAGCTCACTGTACCAAAAATGTTAATATCAGCATTGGGTAGTTGGGGAGTGACCTAGTAAATGGTGGTAACTTCCCCTGTATTACATAGAATGTCTGTAGAATGTCACAGAAACATGAAAAATAAAGTTTCTGAACAAATTCTAATATTTTTTTTATTGTGATACAATTCACATACCATGCAATTCCCCTATATAAAATGTACAATTCACTGATGTTGATATAGTCACTGAGTTTTACAACCATCACCACGATTTTAAAACACTCATTTTAACCAACATTCACCTTCACTATGTCAGTTGCATAGAAAAATGGATATGAGTATATTTACAGCATGATTCTACCACAATTTTTTTGTCAAAAAGGAAAAAAAGTCATTATTGACTGATATGTAGGATTATAAGTAATTTATTTTTTTCCTTTCTTGTGCTTTCAGCATAGTCTGCATTTCCCAAATTTTCTATGATGATGCATATTAGCCTTCAAAATGGAAAGCAATACATTTAATTACAAACAAAATGAAGTCATTCGTTGGGAAAGTCAACAGATTCCTTTTGTTCCTTTTCCTTCCCCTTGATATTTTTAGATAACCAGCACCACTGAAACAAATGAGCTAATGAAGACCTTGCCTTCCCTTTTAGAATGCCTTCTATATTAAGTGTAATTAAGAAGCTGTGCCACACCTTAACCCACTCCCACCTCAAACCCTTGTAAGCGAGAAGGCAGTGCTAAGTAATTGGTGTTTCCTTGAAATCAAAGGAAACACAAGGGTAAACCTCAAATGCTGATGCAAACAAGTCAAAGGACCATGAGAAGAAAAGATGACTATCTGGACCTTCTTTCCTAGAGAGAGTGGCCCAAATGTGTGTGCATATGTGGGCGTGTGTGTGCCAAGTGCAGAGCATGCTGGGTAGTACCTGCTCCAGCTGACGTACCATCGACTTGCCTCTTGTCTGAGTACTCCCAAGTAGGAGAGCTGGGAGCATGTCAGCTGTGGTGCAGAGTTAGTCAGTTGCTGTTAAACAAGGGACTGGAAATGAGCAGGCTTGGAGTGGGGAGTGTGAACAGGAGTAGAGCTGGGCGAGAAGCAGCTTGTAGCCATCCCTTCCCTCCCATCCTTATCTTCTCTCACCTGGGCTGTTATGGCGTCTGTCCTTTTAACAGGCCTCCTTGCCTCATCTGCTGCAGATTGTCTTTCTGGCTTCATCTCCAGCCTATTTGGTGCCCTAGACAGCATTTGCTCTGGCTCCCCTTCTGGTGGGAGCGTTAGCCCACTTCTAACAGGCAGTTCCTGCTCACCTCTCAGCCCGAGCTGACACATGGCCTCTTCTGGCTTTCTCTGAGAAGGAGGGGGAATCCATTGTTTCTTGGTCTGTGTCTCATAATACTTCAGGTGCTCACGTATAGCTCTTGTCACACTGTGTTGTAGTTATATATGTATGGATTTGTCTCTCCCATCAGAATGTGAGCTTCTTGAGGACAAGGATTTATTTCATTAATCATATTTCATCTTATTTATACAGCCCTTAAGACTGTGTGAGAAAGTAAACATTTAACCCAAATAGTCAAAGTGTACACAGAAACCAGAGCACACAGGTGAGTGTAGGGGGTAGGGACATGTGACTGGCAAGATGAGGTAGTAAAGGACAGTTCCGGAATCTGGACAGTATCCAGTAAAGGATAATAGCCCCTTGGTGAGCTTTGATCTGTTTTCAAAGAATGAATTTAGCTCACTCTGCTAAGCCTGCTTTGTTTCTAGTTTGAAGGGATCTCAGTATTTCTTGAGTTTGTTACCTAAACCAAATGCATGATTGTTTTGTGTATGCTCTGGCTTGAGGTACACTATGCAATTACTTACCTTAATTTATGTCTAGTTAGAAACTGAATAAAGCCATGCAAAAGTGGTAATATTGCTTAATTAACAAGAGGTTTCTGAGACTTAAATCTGTAGGAGTCTCTTGGTCTAGATAGGCCTTGGGTTAAATATATACTGTGGAGTGTACAACACAGCTGTGAATGGTTTGCCATATGGGTCCAAATAACTAGAAAGGAAAGTCAGCTAAATTAGAAAAGGATGAATCTAGACTCCATAAAATAGATTGTAATTAGAGGCAGCACAACCCCAGAGTTAGTGTAAGTGCCAATAAACTGGTACAGCTTGAATCTCTGTCTCCCTCTCTCTCTGGAAGGGGAGGGTAATGAGTTGCCCTATTATCATTGCCAGTTTTGATTTTAGCAGTATTTGTGTTCTCCGGAAGGGATGCAAAAGTGGGTAATGTTTTTCCTCCTTTCTCATAAGCACAAGTATAGAAGCATAACTGCAGCAAGTTTTTGC